GTAAATTTAACGAACTCAAAACATGATGTTTTCATTTACCTCCGACAACGGATATATTTTTCAGTGCTGGCTTGTTTGTGTGAGTAGCCTTTATAGATTATTCCCCACATTTTCAGAGATGCTCACATCTACTTTTGCATATTACCGAATAGACTATCAGAAAAGCTTAGATATTGCTACCACTGAGACCGTGTGTTTTATTAAAGTCGTTTCAGTTTGTTTATCATATTCAACAATAAACAATAGTAATTAGTTCTTAGGTAACAACATGTTACACAAGGCACATCGGTCTAAAGGTAATATTAAAATGTTACAAATATTACGGGATTTGTTATGATAATTTACTCAGTTAGGTTGACACGTTATAAGACACTGTGGTCAGAGGAATAGTGTGCACATTCATGTGCATAAGAATATTGATCACCTTACAAAAGCATAAATGTTTATTGCAAACGTTGAGGGGGATGCGTTGAGAAAATCAAGTTCTCGTCGATAATTGGTGCAGTTTAAGTCCATAACTGTCTATATCAAGGCGTATTGTAGCAAGTGTATAACTGGTCACTTAAAACGTCAACTTTGACGGTATGATTACTGAGACTAATTTTTTTATTAGGTCAGTTTTTCCATAGTTTCGATAAGTTAAGAAATACAGACTGAAAGCACTGTAGTGAAGTGATAAGGGACCGTATAAATAGTGAAAATCCTAAAGAGATGTAAGTTTAACATCAAACCGATCACCAAGATGCAGTAATGAGTACATTGCGCTTGATTACATAAACGATTTCTTTCATGTCAATTATTATCATAAGCACCTTTGTAAAGCCATTATTAGACTCTTTTATTTTGTAATTGCCCAGTTAAGCTTGCTATCGGATTTATCGATGTGAAATAATCCAATTCAAGATGACGAACATAAGTCAGAGAGGTATTTGCAACAGGAAAATAACTTCAGTACAACTCATCGGTTGTATCTCACTAGACATTAAGAATCTCCGCAAGCGGCTCTTTCAGAGTTACTGCCGATCCCGAGCCCGGGTAAAGGAGGAGGGTTGGGCATGGGGTCAGCAACCCCATCCCGTAGAAGACTAACTTGCTAAAAAACGCTTACCAGAAAAAATAATTCAAATCATTTAAACTCTGCCCTGGGAGTTGGAAGGTCTTCATTTAGAAGAATTATGACGCTTCATGGTGAAAGCCGAGTTCCTTCGGAAGCCACGAGGCCGATGTCCCTTCTAACAACCAGAGCAAAGATTTTTATAGGTACATGGAACGTTCGAACAATGTGGGAAACCGGGAAGACCAGTCAAATAGCAACGGAAATGAGGAGATACAAATTAGCAGTTCTCGGAATAAGCGAAACTCATCGAACCCAAGCTGGACAGCAAAGGCTAGATACTCCGGTTACGAAGAGGTAAATGCTCCACACACTCAGGGAGTTGCTCTGATGCTGTCCAAAGAAGCAAAGAATGCACTGGTAGGATCGGAATCTCACGGACCCAGGATCACCAAGGCATCAGTCAAAAAAAGAGGGGATCACAATGAATGTTATCTAGTGTTACGCGCAAACCAATGACGGCAATGACGACATTAAAGATCTGCTCTACGATAGGCTGCAATCAATCATAGAGATGTGCCCAAGGAAGGACAACAAATTGGTCATAGGCGGCACAATATTTCCACACAATTGTATACACAAAGCTACTTGTGTCTCACAGGGTCACACAACGGAGAACCAGATAGATCATATTTGCATCAATAAAAAATTCCGAATGACAGTGGAAGGTGTGAGAACCAGGAGAGGAGCTGACATGGCTTCAGATCACAATTGATTGATCACTGGGTGGTGATCGATGTCATGTGTGTCAACTTTTTCTCAGTGCGCATCGAATGCTATCGACCAAGCTGCAATGTGGCCACTAGTCTAGGGGACTCGACATTACGTGCTCTATATTGAGATAGGATGGTGGTTGGAGGTAGTCAACAGGAAACCCCGGATCCGAGTTTCGTGCTACTTGGCACTCGTCAGCAAGGTGTATCTGTAATCTTGAGGGAATCAGTGTTCCTTGACGGATTCGGTCACGATCACCACCTATTTATGGCTTGATCAAAACTTCAGCTAACGAAACACTTGACAACTGGACAAACAGCACCACAAAGGTTCAATGCAGCCTTCTTCGAGATACTAACAATATCAACGAATTCAAGATAGCTCTCAACAACAGGTTCCAAGCCTTACAGGACCTACTGAAGGAAGAAGAAACTACTATGGAGGACAACTGGAAAGGTATCAAAGAAGCATTAACTTCAACGTGTCAAGAGGTTCTGGGCCTCAAGAAGTATCATCATAAAGAATGGATCTCTATAGAAACACTGGACAGGATCAAAGAAAGGAAGAACAAGAAGACAGCAATTAACAACAGCCGAACACGAACAGAGAAAGTCCAAGTACAAGCTGAGTATATAGAAGCAAACAAGCAAGTGGAGATGAGCATTGTAGCCGACAAGCAGAAATACGTGGAAGAACTAGCAACGACAGTGGAAAATGCTGCAAGGGAAGGAAATATGAAACAGCCTTATGATACAACGAAGAAATTAGCAGAGAAATATAGCAAACCAGGAACTCGTCACTATAAATCAACTTCATTGATTATGAAAGGGAGTTTGACGGTGTAGATGAGAGAACATAACGGAAACTTCTTTGAAACTATGGAGTTCCAGTATTATCCGGAACTCATACGACGGACTACAGTGCAAGGTCGTGCATGGAGGACAGCTGACAGATGCATTCCAAGTAAGGACCGGGGTCAGACAAGGCTGTTTACTCTCTCCCTTCCTCTTTCTTCTGGTGGTCGACCAATATTAAAATCAAAATTTTCAATACGAATGTCACGATAATTTTACCGTACGGAACTGAAACTTGGAGAACCACAACAGCCATCATCAAAAATGCACAAGTATTTATGAAAAATTGTCTACGAGAGATACCCAACATCCATTCGTCGGATATCATCAGAAACGGCCTACTGTGTAAGAGAACAAACCAGCCTCCAGTTGAAGAGAAAATTAGGAAAAAACAATAGAAATGGACAAGACGTACATTGTGGAAATGATCAAACTGCATCACGAGGCAAGCCCTAACTTGGAATCCTGGAGCGAAATAGAAATGAGGGAAACTTAAGAACACATTATGTCGTGAAGTAGAAGCAGATACTAAGAGGATGGATAACGACTGGAAAGACCTGGAAGGGATTGCCCAGGATAGGGTTGAATAAAGAGTGCTGGTGAGTGACCTACGCTCCTCCACGAGAAATAACAGGCGTAAGGAAGTCAGACAATAAGGAGCCGTAAGTGAACAAACATTTCTGTCCTGTCGGCATAGACGACATACCATATATCTGACCAAAAACGCCGACGAAATTATAGTGCGGAAGAGCGATTTCGTTTGGGTCCATAGTTACATAGTAACACACATTGTGGCTTGTTGATATTGTGTCCAGTTGCACAGTGATTGCCTGGATGAAGATGTATAGTGCATTAAATTACGGGCTTCAATAATCTCCGACAAATCATGTCAACAGCCCGATGACTTGTAATTTACCCATTCATCTTGACGAGTAGATTTATACTGCATGTGGTAGTATTGTATTCTCTAAATAATGCGTAAAGAGGTGAATAGCGTACGTCCATTAACAACATTGCTATTTGTTCGGCCAAACTGAAATTCCGTTTATTTGGGTATTTCATGGTCCCAGTGTCTGGACTGGAAGGTCATTTACTAGCGGCAAAAATAGAAATAGATAATGTATCGACTATCTGCTATGTTATATCATTTTCGTAATGGGTGATTGATGAATATGGCAATCATTTAAAGCGGATATAGGTTGATTTTGTGAATGTGTTTTGATGCATGTGTCTGCTTGCCTGAGAAACTCTCTTTATATGTACGTTCCTTGCATAAATATCCTGGTTCCTTGAAGTTGTTCTTAATGTAAGATATAGTTTTTATTCCGACCCTTAGTTGTAAACGGTTGTGTTTCCGGTCCTCAATTGGAATTTTATTGTTCATTTTAACTGCAGTTTCAGTATTTTTAACGTTTTATTCAATTGTATAGTTTTGCTGACCAACTTATTTCAACTGTATCTACAATTTCTGCGGTCGGCATCTTCATTTTTCTTAGTTTCGTCGTTATTTTTTCAAAAGACCGTTTAAGTGCGCTCAGCAAGATAGAACAGTGTTTTCTGATTAACGCCTCTATTTTTCTACAGATGGTCGTAATTTTGTGCTTTTTATCAACTTGCGTTTTTGATGTACGGCAGATTGAATATTTGAATCTCACTGAAAAACATTTTGGGCTGCATAGTGGGGCATTTTGCTTGTCCAAGGCTCTTTATGATTGATTACAAGACAACACTTAAATGATATAGAGGTTATTCTCCCACGGTTTCTGCTTCTGCAACTCGTTTTTTGTGCCTCATGTTGAATTTCTTAACCCGTCCAAATTGTTTTTCGCATGTAATTTCAGACGCTCAGGTGCAGACTCAAAGGTTGGGATGCGATAACGTCAATAAAAAGAGCAATTAACAAAGCAGCCTATACGATAGATCTATGTGGCAGTTTAAACTCTTCACGTTCTTGGTAATGCTTTGAGATTAATATACATTTATCCTAGTTTGAACTTTCGTTTTTCCTCCATCATTTGAAGCCTGTCTTCCTGTTGCAATTCGTTACATACTGCATTTAATTCTTATGCTTTATCTGGAGTTTCTTCATCTGTAGTTTACCGTCAGAGCTAATAATCGGTTAGCGTTCTGGCTGCTATTCGTTGTTGTTAGCACTGCCACTCCTCTTCTTCATGTCATCAAGAAAATCTTGTGGTTGAGTCACTTGTCAAATAATTGGTAATAAAAAATGCAGGGATTAGAGCAGGTTTGAAATTAATTTCGTCAGCATTTAATATATTGGGAAACGTGAGTTGTATTTGTTCGAATTTGTACATATCGTTCAAGGTCACGAGACATTTATAAAAGTCAACACAAATAATCGCACACTAGTTTCCGGAATATCCTAATGTCATCCAACCAAGGGAATAAGATAGACCGGTACGAAATCTTCCGCATTCGTCAAGGCATGAGGCCCAGAAGTAATGGCGAGGCATATTTTGATTGCAGTGGCAGTCCGATGATCGTGAGTACTAACTTTTTTGAAAAAATGATTTACAAAGTACGAATAGTAAACAGTAACTCGCTTTGATTTTCAATCTTTGTATATCAACTGAAATAAACTGGAGAGTTTTTTTGGATAACTTGTTTTCTGGAAATATCATTAATAACAAACTAACTTATTTCCAGTTATACGTTTCCTTTTGAAGCGACATGTAGTGTTTCAGAATCCTGAAATGCCGGATGTGACTTACTGAATAAGACCGTTACAATAGGTTTGTAATACATGAAATGTCAAGAATACATTCTCACCCTTAGATTTAGACCTAATTCTTACCTTGAAGAGGGTGAGCAGAAAGTGTTAAACCGTATAAATAAAGATATTTCGAATGTTTTGGAGTGTAAAAGTGCTTCATAAGATCTTTTGATCATAGGTTATTCTTAATTTGTACCAGTTGAAATGAATATCATGTGTGCTCACTGTGTTACCACTGTGTGTCTGACTGAACGTGAGGAAAAATCTAATAATGATCATGACTCTTTATCTCAACCATCTTGTCCCTGTCCAAGCGATTATGGATGCAAGCGCCGCAACCGACACTCCACAATGTACTACTCATTTTCTGTGCGACAAAAATGCTTAGTAAACCAGTTATTTCTCGTCGGTAAGTTATTCACAAAACATGTTGTGTCATATCCGTATAGATAATTGAAGTAGTAAGTTGAAAAAATTTGGGCTTACTGCATAAAACTTAGAAAACATTGCAAAATATTGACACAGTGTCTCTATCTTCGGTGTTGCTCACAATGCTATTTGATTTAGTATTGCGAGTATAGAACGAACAACATTCATTAAACATAGTGATGGCAATCACTGTATTATACAGTTTAATATTTAAAGATGACAGATAATCCTGAAACTTAGTAAATGGTGATTGATTCTAGATGTGCAAAGCGCATAGTCTACGTAAAAAATCCATAGACGTTTCTTGCTTCTAGCTTTTCTGAACCAACTTCATTTTGATGGTTTCTCATCGTGGACCGTGTGCAAAACATTTTACTAGATGTCTCTAGATTTGCTACAGGTTTTACCGTAAATATGTGGTTAAAACAATCAATAAATTGCCCACTAGCTGAACTGTTCAGTTTTAGTCATGAAATATCCGTCATTCGTTCTTAGCAATTCATCGAAGGTTCTATATCATTGTAAACTATAATCATTGACCTAAATCTTCACATCGTTACAGAGCGACGTCTGATAATACGTTTATTGCCATTAATATTATCTTTTATATAGCAATTAAAGACACATAAACCAACTACTCACATCACAAAGATTCACTGGACTTGTTAAAATTCGCGAGGAAATGAAGGTAAATCATCGGAGCATAGTTGTACTATAATTGGTTTTAGAACAGATTAAATTGAACACTAACGGACACAACTATGAATAAATCAGGTTCTCAGAAAAAATATACTTCCGGAAATACTCTTGAGGTCGTTGTGTAAGGGTACATAATGAGGTTATAATTCTTATTCTTGTGGTTGCCTATCTGCTTTTGGATTGGGATCGAAAGAGGTTCACCAACTTTGCAAACTCATTTTGTATAAATGTGATGACGCGGAATGGTTTTTCTCATAGTGGGTTTTAAACATAACTAGTAGTATTCTTCGTGGTAAAAGTTTAACGTGATGTGCTGACAACGATAGACAAACAGCACTTATTGCATTACAGAAGTTACTAGAAATTGGAGTATAGACACTAGTCTGTGTAACTGGACATTATGTTGACTGTGTGTGGTGATAGAGAGTTGGAGATAGTCAACAGGAAGCACTTGATCTGTTTTTAGTGCAAGTTGTAACTATTTAGCACGGCGTATATCTAACGATAAGAGGGCTGATGGTTTCTGTGGGATTCGAAACCAAGTCACTGATCTTCACGATCTTAGGAGGTACCACAGACTAACCATCTGTAATACCGATACCTCTCCTTTGATTATTGATTCAGAAATAATTAGTGTCATATTTATCTGGTCTTAAGTGATGGTAAAGCTTCGGCGGTCAGTTTGTTGGTTTACGAAGGATTTTATATGCCTGCGTTAGCTTGAAAAAATCATAATTTTCGACGCTTCGTTGTTCTTGGTTTGATTTATAAATTACTTCGTGCTTAGGTTCGTAAGTATAATTATATATAAGTTTGTCATAAAAAAGGTTGTACCTTGAGGAAATATTATATTGAGCGAAATGTATCTTTTTAACACTATAACTAAACAAATGACATGTGCTTTATATGAATTCAGTATAATCTACTAGTGTTTAAAAATCAAAATGGCTTAACAAAATAAGAGCCTATTTATACTGTGAAAGAAATGTCCATGAAAACTATGCTAATCTTAACCAATGACTAAGAAATCTTAAATTGTGGTTATTATTTTATTAAGTTGATATAATTATGTTTCCGTTTCATAGGACGGATTTGATCACAAGATACGGGTTTACAATAAAAAAGGAGCAACAGGAAATCAAAGGTTTGCATTCATTAGTTTGCTCTTTTTATACAATTCAAAAGCTGACTGATTTGAATAGCTGGATTTTTATTTAAAATTTTGCAACGATTTCTGAACCTTCCTGGATATATGCATTTTGTTTGTAGTTTGCTATTAAACGTGTAACAATGGTTCGTCAAACCCCATGAGTATCAAAGCCGATATTTATTAGATAAAAACTGTGAAAAGGCTTCGTAGTTGTGTGATACGTACTGTTGAGATACAGGTTTAGTAATATCGCTTACCGGTTCGTATTTTAATTTTACTGTATGCTCTTGATAACGTTTAGTGAAAAATATAATATAGGGTAAGATTTGAAAACTAGACATTTTTAAAAAAGAAGATCCAAAAGCACTAGATGTAATACAATTTCTGCTTGCGCTGGTTTAAAAACAAAAAGTGGTTAGATCGTACGTGGTTATCGTAGTCATGAGTTGACAAAAGAATTCATTGTGTTAAACGAGTAAGAGCTGTTTATTAGGAGTGAAGGAATAATCTCTATCTAACTCCATATCCATTGTCATTTGTTCTGTCAGGATAAACCCACAAGAAAAGCCATTCCTCCCCAACCCCCTACTGTTTGAAAAATCAATGGTATTTTGTCAGCAGTACTGTTTTTATCGTAAAGTATTTGAATGACGATAGATTAAGTTTCTGTCTAAAAAAGTAAGTTCATCCTTTAATCATAAAAGGTGATTCTTTTTCTTCTGAAAATAGGTGTAATATAGGTTACAAATAGCCCTTATGAAAACGTCCGGGCTAAATTTAGAATTATAGAATTCAAAAACTAAATTATCTGGAAGATACTTTCTTTAAAAAACTGTCAGACTGTAAGCTAATATACGGTTAGTGACTATTTAATTTATACCAGCAATTTACGTCAGCGTACTAAGGAAATATGTGTGCTAAGTTATTTTTATTTGTAGGAACCATCAGAAAGATAATTCATGATGTTTTCCACGGGAATATAACATTTTGATAGTTTGAAATAAGTTGCAGCGATTCCGAGCTACCGTGAAAGTGTATAAATATGCTGTCAGCAGTTTCACGGAGGAAATTCCGCTATCGCAGAAAATAAACTCAAAGTTGAAAGTGTAATGTCTGTTACAATGTGCGCACACACTAAATTTGTTGTTCAATCTATACCCAATCAGCATTCACTTTCCTAAAGGTTTGGCTTTAACAAAACTGGATCATAACTTTCTTTGATTATTTAGTGTATGATTGACAAAGGCACATTTTTTGCCTTTGATTAAAAGTTGTATAGATGCACCTCGAATAGATTTCGGGTAGTCACTAAAAAGCGCCCCACTTTATTGTTTAGCTGAAATGACATATTATGAAATGTTTTGGCATCGTGAGTGACTCCAAAACAGTTTATGTGTTTTCCTCAAAGTTTACATTATATATATATATATATATATATATATATATATATATATATATATATATATATATATACTGTATAACTTCACCACACTTTCACAAATATCGACTAAATAAGCCTGTCTTTAATTGTAATAGGAATTTTAACAATCATCACTGCATAATAATGTAGCAGTTGCTTTTAATGCTGGAATACGTTGTATTTTCTTTTCTTGTAATGTCATCGCTGTTTTGTATATATTTATGCCTTACATGATCATTATATATTCTCCATTCTGGTAAATAAATGCAGAGGAGTCAATTCTGAGCAAACATATGGAAGCAAAAATACATCAGACTGTAGGTAAGGAGTTTGTTTACCACAGATAATGGACTCAATTTGCCTTACTATTATAAAGTTATCAGCAAGATTTTGGTGATAACTTAGGTCCATTGGTTACTTATGGGATCGATGATGAACCCAATCCAGGGTGAGTTAATGTGTTTTATATAATTGAAAAAGTCATTGTTCAACTAGATATTTTTATCGATCTTTACTATGGCCCTTCTACTCATGACTTGTGTGTCATCTGTCTTTCTGGATGTTTTACAATTACTTTTTTGTCAAGACGAGTTTTTTAAAGAACGATGATCAGCTGATGTAGGGAACTGTTTATATGTGGTCCATTGATTAGAACACTCATCTAAAATTGCTTTTAAATAGAAATAATGGCACAAAATACCAGTTATTTTGTCGTTAATATGATGAAGTAAAATGATATTGTAACTTGAATACGTATAAACTACACACTAGATAATCTTTAGGAGTTAAGCAGTAGTTCCAACTCTATCAATTGTTTTAAATATTGGCAAAGTCATGCCACAGTTTTACCAAACCATTTGACGATAATCTATATCGTGAAAGTACATTAGTTGAAAGACTGATAAAAGTAGAGAGCTATGGATGTCTGTTTACTACCTGCTCAAAACTCTTCAAAAATGCTTGCTGACAACCATATTTGAGATTGAATCCAAAGTTCACATGCCCTCGGTGGCTTTATTATATAACTGGTCTACTGGCTTTAAATCAATCTACAGTACCCAAGGATTGGAGAATATTAAACGTAAATCTTTACCGCATCTCCAGCTAGAGATAATTCATTGTCTGTTTCTGGTAATATACTGAAAAATGGGTATTCTAATTAAGTAAATACCTAGCAGTTACATATGACACAACAGATCAAGTATTTATGATGTATGACAATTAGTAAAGCTCTACGTAAAAGTTTAGAACTCAGTGTTAAGTTCTTGTTGTCTTCTACAATGAAACAATATCACTAAGTGCTTTCCGATTGTGTCTTATGGAACGTAGACAGCCACAAACATATGAATGACTGAAGTGAAGCAAAAATATTGCAGTAGAGTTAAATGTAAACACTACTGGAATCAGCCATTGGTAATGCCTAGGCCTCAGTATTCAGAGTATTCTGATTTCGTAACCACTTGTTTACAAATTGTCGTTAACATATCTTCAGTCCAGTAAATTCAATCAGGAACGAACTTTTCATAATGCGTGTATTCCCTCTTCTTTTGCTCTTCACTCTCACTGTTCATTAAAACAGTATTATTCATTTTGGTTGCATTTCCACGACAATTTGCCTTCTTTCAAGAAATGCCCGCTGCCAACTTATTCAAACTAGTCGAGTGATAGTCGATCAGGGTCTGAGTGATTGATAGACTTCTTATGAAAATCAGTCAAATTTCAGACACGCCCAGTTGACAGTTAAGAGCATCTTATATAACTTGTTTCATTGATAACGTTTTGAAGAAAATACCATAAATCACATAAAATCAATTCATACCACAAATCCTTGTACTTATTGACTGATGTTTTTCATATTCGTCTAATGTCATCACTTATTAAGCTAATTAAAAAGCTTATTTTGTGGAGGGAAATAATATTTTATAACCCGTGAAGTAGATATTAAACATTACCTGAATACAGAAATAAGTGATGAATAAGGATTTCAATGTAGTCTTTTTGATAACTCAAATACATCTTAATATCATTATGTTAAATAGTATTATTTATGATTGTCTTTGTCTAATGGTTTGTTATTATACTGCGTCTTATTCAGTTAAACTGTATGAAAATCATATATATCTAACATGCTATTCAAATCAACTTGACAAACTAAGTAATCAGTCTTAGCGATTGCCGGATACAATTATACATGTTTGGCTTGCTAGATTAACCGAGGCATACTTTGTTTTCTTGGCATTAGTGATAAACTGAATCATTATTTTTTCTTGCTTACATACTTAAGCCTGTTATCCCTCGAGGACTTAGATCAAAATTTATAATTTCAAGGTCAATAAATTATCGAAGACGACAGAATTGCCCTTAAAGGACTTCAAAATTTTGAACAGTTCATAGAACGAAAATATGACATGAAAAACACTTCAAACTAGCATTTCTATCCATAAACTTATTCCGTTTTCCTAATTTACAGAATATGATCGGAAATAGTTGAACATAAAATCGATATAGGCAATTGCATTACAGTTCATTTTACGTTTGAGACAAAAACCATATCTAATATTTAGGTTGAATAAAATTTTGTATTTGGGCATATTAATCAAAGTACTTAAGTGTACTACTTACTTATTTACTTCTGTTACATATCGTGGAGAAGCATAGATCGCCCATCAGCATACCCCATCGAGCTCTGCCCTGTACAGTCCTTTCCAGATGCTTCCAGTTCTCAACACAGTGAACGTTTTGGCTTTCTCTTTACCGTTTCCATATCAGGATTGCAAGTTAGAGCTTGCCTCGTGATGCGGTTTGATGATTTCCACAATGTATGTCCTATCCACTTCCAGCGTCTTTTCCTAATTACCTCTTCGAATGGAAGTTGGTTTGTTCTCCTACACAGTAGGCCGTTTCTGATGATATCCGACGAATGTGCGTTGAGTATCTCTCGTAGACAATTGTTCATAAATACTTGTGCATTTTTGATGATGGCTGTTGTGGTTCTCCAAGTTTCAGTTCTGTACGGTAAAAATGTCTTGACGTTCGTATTGCAGATTGTGACTTTGATATTGGCTAGCAGTTGTTTTGAGTTCCATATGTTCAACAACTGTATAAATGCTGTCTTTCCTATGCCAATCCTTGCCTTTCCGTTAGCATAGGATCCTTCCTGTTCGTCGATGATGCTGTCCAGGTACGTGAAAATTTACACTTCCTTCAGAGTTCCTCCATCAAGTGTGATTGTATTGGTGGTCACCGTGTTGTAATTTCTGCCTTGTATGTGTTGAGGCCTGTTGATGCACAGACTGCTGCTTCACTAGTTGTCTTCATCTGCATTTGTTATTGTGTATGGGATACAAGAGCTATCTCATCTGCAAAGTCCAAATCATCTAGTTGCATCCTTGCTGACCGTCTTTATAAACCTCTCAGCAACTAGAACAAAAAGAGAAAGAGAGAATGAGCAGCTTTGTTTGACGACGGTCCTCACTTGGAATGAGTCTGTCAGCTGTCCACCATGCATGACTTTGCAGTGTAGTCCATCGTATGAGTTCCGGTTGATGTTGAAGATCTTCTCAGTACAACATAGTGTTGAAGAGATTTTCATTACGTTCTCCTATCCACTCTGTCAAACACTTTCTCATAGTCAATGAAGTTGATGTATAGTGACGAATTCTATTTAGTTGATTGTTCAACGATGATCCGTAGTGTCGTGATTTGGTCTGTGCACGACCAATCCTTACAGAATCCTGTCTGTTGACCTTGAAGATGGACATCTACTAAATCCTCCATCCGGTTCAGCAATCCTCTGTTGTAATCATTTCCTAGTACCAATAGTAGTGTGATGCATCTGTAGTTCTCACATTTGCTCAGATCTCCTTCATTTGGTATCTTGATATCTATGGTATTCATCTTCTCAGTCTGTTATCACTTGCATTTCCCTCCACCAAATCTTCCTGAATAGAATATGGAGCATATATGCAGGTACTACTATGTCTGACTTCAATGGTTTAGCTGGTATGTTGTCAGGTCGTGCTACATTTTTACACTCTTCACTTGTCTAATGCCCATCCTGATTTAATGGATCATTGGTAGAGTACGATGTATAAGGATGCCTGTAGGTGCTGAATGGATTTCTAATGTATTGAATGGAGCTGGTTTATTCAACAGTTGGTCAAATTGTTCTATCCAACTATTACTATCTTCTTGAATCTCAGTCATTGCCTTGCCTTATTTGTACTTGAACGGTCTCTCTGGTTTACTATATTTCATTACCAATTTCTTCGTTGTGTCATATAGTTGTTTCATATTTCCTTCTCTAGCTGAATTTTTCGTTGTTGTTGCTATGTCAACCACGTATTTCCGCTTGTTGACTCCAATGTCCCTCTTCACTCGCTTGATTGCTTCAATGTAATCAGATTGTGCCTTGACTGCCTCTGCTCTCGTTCCACTGTTGTTCATTACCGTCTTCTTGTTCTTCCTTTATCAAATCTCGCAAATGGTCTCGACAGAGATGCACTCCTTATGATGATGCTTGTTTATTTTGAACAACATATTTAGGAAGATTTTTTCTTCGTGATGCTGTTGCTGACTTCAGCCCATCTCCTCTTCCCAGTCTTGAAACCATCGGTGGCCCCAGAAAAGGTATAGGAGGAGTTAAATGATTATTCAGTATTTGAAAATGATTTGAACATAGTTTGTAATTACATTGAAGTAAACAAATTTTTAATTCACTTGTCATAAGCTTCAACAGCACATTTCAAACGTATAGGTTCTGAGATTAAATAGGTATCTGATAGTAAATTTAAATAATATTAACTATTCGAATTTTTTAATTTTTTGTATTTTATCTTAATATAATGCTTTATTTCAATTTTTCTCTTTCTTAGTGATAATAAACGTAAATGAAATTTTAAATGAAAGAATTTGATCACCCATTCTCATCACTGTTGTCAGTTATTATTTTGTTTTAGTCATTTGGGTGAGTAATACTTATTTGTTGTTATATATATATTAGGCATAATAATCTTGATATTGTTTCACTTCAAGTTTTATTACTCACAGATTAAAGCTGTAGTGATAATGTTGACTAAGTTAATGCAAAACTAATTAACAGTTATAAATAAGTTATATTGTCACATTGATTGTTTATCTATTAAAAGATTTCATCGTTTTGTAATATTATTCGCGAACTTTCGAATTGTTATATCCTGTTTACTGGTACACATCTAGAGCATTTGTTCTACTGAATACATGAAAATTTAATATTTTTAACACAGAATATTCTCCATTTAATATATCTGATAATAGTATAATGATTAACAATTATCATATGAAAAAGCTTAAAACTTGAGAAATCTATAAGAGTTTTACTCTAATTGAATAAATACACGATGACGGTCATAAGAATCCATTAAACTTAATGATTAATAAAATGTTTTATAAGAAGAAAACCAACTTCAAATTTCAATAGTTGAATGAAAGTATGAAACACTTTATTATTATTATTATTATTATGGAACGACTTGTATATGTTACTGACAAAACAATAAAAAAAGTAATCAAGAAATCTTTCATATATTCATATCATTGAGTTTTAATATAATGGGAATTTTTCAGCGATTAAAATCTTTTATAGCAATTAGTCCTTTTTATAAATTTCGATAGAACAATGAGAAGACGAAGTTTATCTGAAAAATGTGATGTATTTGAACATGTGCCTAGATGGCTTTAAAATCATTGTATATCAAATGATACGATCAACGTAGGAGGTAGAAAACCAGGTTCATCGATAGTGAAACATATAATTGAGAGGGGGCACAAAATTGACATTAATATAGATTTTAGAACATTGTATAGAAATTGTCAAGGACAAATCCTCAAGTTTATTGAAGCTTTGGCTATTCGTAAATTTAAACCCCCCTTATGTGTACAAAAACAATTTGTCGTAATCTTGAATTTACCTTGGTAATCCTTAAGTCATTCTATGGCGTAGGATAACGCGACAATTTCTCATTCTTTCTCTCTTCTTTGTTACTTTTTTTCCTTGAACTTTCATTTCATTGACCGTTATTAATTTTCATATAAAATACCCTGACAAGTATATGTGTGACCAAATGTATAACACAAATACATCACATTTTTCAGACCAACTCCGTCTTCTCACTGTTCTATCGAAAATCTTTTATATTCATGTTTTTATTTTTTTTAAATTTTTTCTTTTAATTAATATTATGAATAAATCATTTTTAAAAGTACATTTTATTCAAATTTTATATATTTAGATCTGTGAATCCATTCATAACTACAAAAACTGAAAAACTTCATGTTTTTTTTCCGAATTCATATTTACTACTTATTTTATAAAACTTACAAATATGAATTATTTTTTCTTCTCTTTAATTTTTATTTTTTGTAATCATTATCTAATAAATGATCTATACAACATTGATTTTATATCATTATTATAATATGAACCACATGGTATCTCTTAGTTGGCAAGAGTTGTTTTAAAATTTATATTATATCATATGAATAACCATATATATATTGAGTAGGAAAAAATAATAATAAAACGTAGAATATGTATAGGTTTGCTAAAAGCAGATGATTTTTCACTAAATTAAACCCTTACTGAAATTGTTTTATTTTATTCAAAACAATGTAAAAGTAGTTGATGAGAATAATGAATATGTTTGATTATTAAGTTGGTTCTTCAAAGTTTCTGTATTCTAAACATGATAATTAGTCAAATAGTGTTAAATTATCTCATGTAATATGATTTGTAACATGAGTAATTGCAAATCAAAACGTACATTGGTTGACAATCGTTGATTCATATACTTCAATGAATGAATATTTAAAATAGTATTTAGCAATCTAGAGTTTAGGCAGTTTTTCCTAATCTACTGAAATGTTTAGAAACGTTATTAACATTGTATAATAATCACTTATTTGCTTACGCCTGTTATCCCCAATAGAGCATAGGCCGCCGACCAGCATTCTCCAACCCACTTTGTTCTGGGCCTTCCTTTCTAGTTCTATCCAATTGTTGTTCATTCTTCTCATGTCTGTCTCCATTTCTCGGCGTAATGTGTTCTTTAGTCTTCCACTTCACCTATGACCTTGAATATTCCAAGTGAGGGCTTCCCTTGTGACGCAGTCCGGTGCCTTCCTTAAGGAAGGCACTTCCAGCTCTTCTTCCTGATTTTTTTTCTCCGCTGGGGTGTGATTTGTTCTCTCCCACAGAAAAAATAATTCAACATCGTGTAATATTTCCAACATAAAAAAGAGAACTAAACTGTATCTGTATATAAGAACTTCCGTTTAAATTAGATCGAATAGTTTCATGGTGTTTGAGTACTGAGTTGATATGAGACACTAAAGAGGAAGAATGTATTTTTAAAATCTTAGTGACTGAATTCGAAGTAAATCCAACGCTCTGTCTAACAATCTGGTCCAACCTTCCTCAAGGAATTTTAATCAAACATAAAATTTGTGGAATATAAATAAGTAGATCGTTCTCTGGTTAATTGTATACTAAATTTGTCATCCAATCATCGTTAACAACGTTTAAAGTAGGTGTTTGCTTTAGTGTGTAAGAGACATGGTGTGAAACGAAAAGTGTGTTAGGATAACAGATTGTGTGTATTCGTAAGTGGTGTGAGAAGAATGATAAATCCATGATGAAGCGAAAAGAATAATAAAATATGTAAAATCTACAATGAAATTATTTCATCATATTCAGGTTAAGCACAATATGGAAAAAACGAACCACGAAACATTTAGAAAGAAGAAAATGTCATAAGTAACTCGCAAACATGAGAAAAAAAACGGTTACTGAAATAAATAAAAAGATCTAAAGCATAAAGGACTGTATAAGTCAGTCTGAGAGCTAAAAAAAGAGATCTGTACAGTAGATACTTTAAGTCAGGAGCTTGAATTTATCAACAACTCACTGACCGAGATCGGCTACCCCAGTGCTTCCATTAAGCAGTACATGTATGACATAATAAAGAAGTCGGAGATTTCGACTGTTCGTAAGAAACTTTTATACATGAAACTACAATTCAACGGGGATGTGGCTAGTGGCACTCTGAAATATAGGTTAACGAAAGTAATCACCAGGACATTCTACGTAGCCAATCTTGCGTTGACTTTCTCTTGTCGACCAGTGATGTCTACCCAAACGACGGATAAGTTACCTGAGTTGGCCTCCTCAATGTGCATTTACAAATTCAGCTGCTCCTGTGGAGATAGCTATATCGGGCGTACTACCAGGCAACTTAACCAACGAATGAGTGAACACCTACCAGCTTGTTTTATAAAGGGGCAGATAAAAACAATTCGCAGTTCTATCTTGGCACATCTTATTGATAGCGGTCATGCTGTAGATAAATCGAAATCATTTCGAGTGGTCTATCGCATACCTCCATCTTTTCCCAAAGGAATTCGTTCCCGCCTCCTACATATAACTGAAGCCATAGGAATTCGTACATATAACCCCAATTTATGTGTACGGAAGAAATTCGTAACCCCCTATCCCTTCGATGGCCAGTTACAACTTAACTAACAATTTTTTTTATTATTATTTATTTGTTTTATTCTATTTTTGTTGTCATTATCCTTATTTTCACGTCTATTGTTTGTTTGCAATTTTCCTCCTCTTTCCGTTTATATTCTTCACCATCTAATTATTTACACATTTCTTATTACGTCATGATTTTAATGTTTAATGATGACTATTCCAAGTCTATTTACCCACAATTGACCTTCGATTTCCAACGTCTTACTATTGATAAGATTTTTGTTATCGTATTTTATTATTCTTACTACTATCAGTACACCTGTCTTCCTACTATCAACTTGTATTTTTACTTATCATGTGTGGTGACTTATTCTATTTCATTGTGATCATTGACCCAAATTGCCTTGATTGGTTTAAAATTTTCGTATAAACATTCATGTATATTAGAGTAAAGCTTGATGACGATCTAATTGAAAACAATTGTTCGCTTATATGTGTTGTTCTAATTTTCACAATGGGAATCTTTAACAGTCTGAGATTGACAAGTAGTCGAATAACTGGCTAGACTAATCAGGAAATTCTCCTGTCTGCTTGAATTTACACCGGTTGTCCTCCTCTTTTACGAACTCACCTTCATAACACCTTATCTTAAAACTAGTTCGAAGGTTATGCATTCAGTAATTATAAAATAAATAAAATTACCATAAGCCTTGTTCAGAAAAACATGTCTGTCTATGATTGTAATTGCTTGACAGCTTCGCCAGAAGGATTATCGCTTTTTTATCAACACAATTTTTAGACGTTATGCATTTAAAGACAACCAACAGTTAGTAGATAGTCTATAATAATATTAGCTGAAATGTAACTTTCCTTTTTGGCATATGCTTTCATGGATTTGTAAATAGAACTGAGAACCGAATGAACATTATGTAGCATGCAAAATCATAAGCTAATAAAAATGCTGGCGTCATGAACAGAGAGTTAGGTAACACAAGCGTAGCCGTGTAATCTCATGTTTTACTTGCACCAAGTTTTTATATAGCGTATGTTTTGGTGTACTTGTTGTCCATATTAGAATATTTAGGTTGTTGGTGGGATATTTTGGAGCCATCTCCTTCCTGAAACAAACACTGATAATTTCCCAATATTTTTTATGTTACAGTATATTGCATCTAATAAGTTGTTATTACGCGATAATTTAACTGCGTTCTCACCTGACGTGTCTCAGCACATTGAATCACCAATCAAATCAATGTTTTGCAGGTGGTATGTACAGCACAACTTGTACATGGTATTGCACTTGTGAAAAAATCCTTTCATTTTAAATATAAATAGAAGTAGATGGTCGATCCTTTACATGTATGGTGCTAATGCAAGATATGATTAGAATTTTATTTTATAGAAGATCATGGCAAAATATGAGAACCATAAATTGAACACTTCATTTGTAGATTTCCATCACTTGTCTTTTACATTCTATATGATTCACGATTCTTCTATTCCCTTCCACTTCTGATTTATGTTACACACTAGGTATGTTGACAGACATAAGTAGCATACACCACAGTACTACAAATTATGTGAGGAATCGTATATTCTATTACAGAATGTTAATCAACTCGTGATGAATTTTATTTAGCAATACAACTGCCATAACATCATTTAAACTTCCATATTTGTACTTAAATATTCCCCTACAGTTAATACAGTCCTTTTTAACATCTTTTTTCATTCTTATTATTTATTTTGTATATTGGAGTCATATTTTGTCCCGCTTTTGTGTTTTTGTTAAAAAAAATTTTATCGTGTCTGTTCACTTTCTTTTGTACAATGATTTACTACTTGATTGTTACTTCATTTTTATTGCTGTTAACTTATGAAACCACTCTGCAAGAAACTTATTGGTATTTTCATTAGAAACATAAGTTGACATAATATAATATTTGACATCAATCATTTCACTTTCATCGTAAATTGATTGGGTATAGTTAGGATTATCAATTATCTCTACTTTAGTCCTAGATACCTTTCTTTGTAATTTGGATGATTTCACTTTACCTATTTGCTAGTCTGTGCAACCAAACATTGTAAGTTTTAGTATCGTGAGATTTTTAGGTATACATCCATACTAAAAAACATTAGCATATTGTTGATAGTAGCTATATATTTTGATACTAACAATTCTAAATTTATTGTTGTTGGTTAAATCAATAGTGAATCAGAATCAACTTGTCAGCATGTTAATTATTTAACAATCATTTCTTACGAGTTCATCATAAAATGACGCCAATGCATTTTATTTTTGGAAAAAATACATGCCGTACACTGAAAACCATAGATGTTTCATTAGATATAAGTCAATAATCTTTTGTATTATGACTAGTGAGGTGGTACCTTGCTGGATGTGAGGCATTTACTCACAGAAGACAATTAGAGGTGGTCGCGCAACATTTTGAATTGACTGAAGTTAAGCATTGACATTAGTGAATGCTGGACCAGTGACTTACAGGTTAACTCGATCGTGCGCGGAAACGAAAGTGGTACGTCTGATTGCTGGCATGCAAGCTCGTGCATGCTCACTGATAAGGGATCTAGTAGGAGGACTTAGTGGCCAGACAGTTCTTCCAGGTTATCATTGTTGGTCTAACATTGGTCGGTTCATGATTTCTTCGAAATTCAACAATCATTACATCGTACAATTTTGTTTATTAATATGCTTCCTCAGGAGTCGGTAAAATTTGTCATATACTCTACAGTTACTCATAAGTAGTGTAAAACAAATTAAAAACATGTTGGTAGATAGTATACATCTCGATCCAAGTCACTGGAAAACAATAGTTACTGCATTTCTGTCAGAGACAGAATGCCAACTTATTCACAACACTGTTGGGTTTCAACCTCTGGGAAATATTTATGTTGAAAAATTTTCAGCATCCTAAATACTGAAAAATACTAAATTCGCAGAATGCAGTATCAAAAGTCTTGTACACATTTTGAATATAGTTTGCTAGTGACCTATAAAGGTTGAAGCAAATTGTGGTGTTGGTATGCATCATCGCAAGTGAAACAACCGAGAACAATTCCCGTAACAAAATATGAATGTGTGATGTGTATTGGTCATATTGATAAGTAATAGTTTGTATAGATGTGAAGTTAGAAATACGTTTATTAATTCTCGTATTAATTGTAACTTTTAATAAACATTCAGTAGCTCAGTGCTTGTTTATCATTCATCCATAATTTTCTGAAGGCATTTCAGTGACTCACGTATTAGTTATGCGGATTATTCAGGATAATACATTTCGATTTCACTCATGTCTTGATGAAAATCTATTGTTTGTTTCACATAACATCATCACTAAAATTGTTCGTGAATGTGGATATAAGCATTACCAGTTTCGGGAATACTGTTTAAAATAACACAAGTAGTGATAAAACCAATTCAAGAAGAATTATTCCTAAACTTTCCTATGTCATTCACGTTTATTATTTAGAGTCACTTTAGAAAATGAAATAGTAAAGGAAGCATAATATATTTCAGGTAATATGTATTACTTATCAGTAATCTTTCTTTACAAGATTCCATGAAATGAGTACATGAATTAACAAATCTTTAATTTAAATGGACTGAAGTCATTTATGGAGTGCTACTAATAATTACGCTATAAATCTGTTCAGTATTTATAATTATAACGCTGCAGTTATCTCGTTAATTTGTCTAGTTTAACTAAACCCCGTGATTAGAGGAAGGATTGTCTTATCTTTATTAGCTAGAACAGAAACGTCAAAAGAGATATTACTGAGTGATTATTTTATGAAGCTCATGTTTCAAGTTTAACTGCACCCACATTATTATACACTAAGCCACGCACATAAAACAACGTCAATATAAACTCAACAGGGATATTACTTATTCAGTATTCAAGACGTTATGAGTGTTTTTTCTCACTGTAAGTCTAAAGCAATCTCAACACTGCCAACAATCTCATACATTTTCTTTATAAAACTTCTATTTTTATTAAAATAAATACGAAACTTGTATATACATATCATATTCACTTTCCCTTCAGAATGACATTCAATTTCTGGGACTCAAAACAAAAAGTCAGTAGATTGTGTCACCTGGATATTTTGAGCCCTTTAATTTTCTGTAACTAATGAATCGCTATTTCATCTGTTATGTTAACAGACAAAATAAGTTAGTGTGAATCTGAATTCTTGTAAGCCTAAAAGAAGAGTACGAACATTTCCGAATGCAAATAGATATGTCTATAAGATCAGAGAATAACTTATAGATTGAATGGTTTTCTGTGAGAAAAAACAAAATGAATCGTACTGAATCTATCTATTAAAACTGTTAAAATAGTAAATGTACAAAACACTGGGCAAAGATAGTAAGACAATTAATGTAGTTTGAATTTGCGGTGATGTAACTTTGAACGTATTGTAAAACGAGAAACCCGAGTTATTACTATGATTGTTATTGTTATCAGTAGATATTGAATGATCATTTAATCTTTTACAGATACTTTTAATAAAAAGCTCTTGTTCACCAATTTCGAAATGAAAAGTACAGTATTCACTTAAAGATTAATATTATCTATAATAATCAGTGTAAGGTTTTCATTATAAGACCTGAATGCTGACCAATGGTTTTCGTGACTTTTATCAATATATAGGTAAAACTTCTATACGTAGAATCAATGAGTAGTTGAAGACTATTTTGATGTAATACTTTATTTTAACCATTCTAAAATGCTAGAAGGTAGGATCACAAACACACTAAAAAGGAAATATCCTTAAAATATACCACTGAATGGATAGAAACTCAATAAAAAACAAAACAAAATGTTAAAATAAGATTTATCCAAATTTCAACCAGATCGATTCTTTAAAAATGCATATCCTTAAACTAGAAATAAATCTTACTTAAACTTAATCTTTTAAACTACCAAAGAAAAATGAGATAGATTTCTTTAATCTATGTGAACATGAAGACATCAAGTAGTTCAGAAAAGATGTGTGATGAGATTTCTGGTAAACCTAAAAAGCAAGAAGGAGTTTTCTCGCTTTACTAAAATAGGATACCCGCATATTATAAATTGAATTATACGACCTTGTTAAATACACTTAATCATAAATCAAATCTTATTGTACAAAGGAAATAAAATTCATAGGATGGAGTTAATTAATGTAGACTACCTGCTTTACGACGATACATAAGGATTCACAATAATATTTGTATTAGGTATATTTAAATGTTGTTCACTATGGGTCGTAGAATATTGCAATAATACTGTAGTGAATCTGAATATGATGTACTGAATTTAGACAAGATTCTTCTGACCAGTTTTCTTTTACGAGTTCTGTCTTTAGATTACTAATCCACCGTAATTTTTTCTGCGGATATAATAAGGATAACATTTCCCCTTTTAATTTCACATCATTTCAAATAAATAAAGGTATTTTAGAAAACTGCACCGTTTTATTCATGTTTCAAAAAGACCTATGCTATTTGCTCAATTTCAGTGCCTCAATTTTTTTCGGATAATTAGTTGGTCTCTCTTCATAAGAATACGTGAGTGTTGAATGAACAATGGTAATCTATATGACATGATGGTTGTAAGAAATATGTATGTGAACTTTATATGTTTGGTGTTTAAAAAATCTCAATTCATGGTAAGTTTAATTAAATGATGAATAGTACAGAAATTTTCTGTCAAAAAATAGTTATTTTGTTAAAGATTAATAACAAATGGGGAAAAATTATGTACAAATTAGTTCATTAAACGGAAGTATTCTTCAGTAATAATTCCTGTTAAGATACCGACTAGTTATCTACCTCATCAAACGCACTTTATTCAACCACTGTTTATATAACATCATTATTGTTATATCCTAGTGAAGATTAAATTACAAGTAACTTCTGAAAACTATTAACGAACTTTATTATATATATATATTCCTATTGTATAACTGTTCTGTAACTAGATTATGTATATCTTTATTCTCCTTATTATAAGCTTCATTTTGACGTATAGACTATTATCATACGATTTACTGTTCTTATGTTATGTTCAGTTTATTGATTACAGTCTCCCACAATCACAGTCACTTTCTAACTTGATCTTGCACAAATTTTATTTCCTATTTTATGGTGTGATATGGTCTGTTTGGCTTGTATATAAACTAAGTATGTTTGAAATAAATGATTCGCATAGTGGAAGCTGTTATTGGCGTTCTGAACTAGATTGGACGGGCTAGGTGAACGAAGAACTAATAAGGTCGGTAAGCTGTTCATACCGGTTGAACGTCATTGGTTTAGCACAGTACTAAGATTGAATAAGTCATATTGCAATTGGCGAATAAATCACGTAATAACTAGACGGGCTTAAATTCACACCAGTTATTTTATTAGGTCAGTTTTAGTGAGGAGATCCATAGACTAATGAAATGATTAAAAAAACTCCTAGAAACCCTGTAGTACACTTTCATGACATTCTCATACAACACTATTAAATACAGATTCTGTTTAACGAGAGTTATTATTGAAATTAACTTAGATCACAAACTGTTAATAGTGGTTCAGTTACATATTAACATAAACATTTTTCGAACAACTTTATGACATATAGGAAATTGTGAGCCGTCTATTTCGTACCAAACTTTTCTTCATCTGTCTAATATATTATCAATTGAACATATATGTATTGTGACTTACTCATTGTGACTTACATATAGTTGAATTCAAAATTTAACTGTTTTAATTCAATGTCTAATCAAAATGAAATACAATTTTAGATGACTCCAAATTTAATGTTTGATAGGTTACATATTGACTGAAAAAAAACAACTTTTGCAAATAAGATTGATCAAGGATTTTTTCTGTTATTTTATTGATGTCACTTCCAAATACCATAGAGATAATTGAAAAATAAGATCTACATGTGAATCATGTTAAAGTGAAATGGTAATCTTAAGAAATTACACTTATTTGTGGTGAAATTAAGAATTTACAATTTTTATTAAAGGTATGTATTTCAATAACTATGATGATACTTAATAGTTTATCAGTTATTTGATAGAAGGATTTAGGTGTTTCGATGACTAATTCAATGATCATTTCTTCAACATCTTTTGCAAGAACACCAACATATTTCTCACACTCTCGCTTCTTAACAAGAAATGAAGTAACGAGTTTATCAATAAAACTGAATAGATACTTCATTTTTCACTGAGCAATACACGCAAACAATTCATGTCTAACTGATTTTCAATCGTTCAAAGAATAATTCTAAAAAAACATTCATTCTGCTGGAGTTTACTTCTCTGAGCTGGATCTTCAAGAGGACGAAAGTGTTAGAAAATTATCCACCAAAGCTACAAATCTTTACCATCTCAGAAATATTCCATTCAACTGTTGGCAAACAAACCAAGAATTCATACATTTTTATTAAATGATAATTAAAAGCAGAATTTCTTACATTTGGATCAGCAAGTTTAGAATTTATTGAACTTTATATATATATGCTTAGAACGTATGTTGCCATTTTATCCTTTTACCACTTAGAAAACATTTTTTATGAATGATTCGGATGAATTAACTGTTGTGTGGTGTCGGTTATTATGTTAAGCCCATATGCCTTATTCTAGGTTTCGGACAGACTATTGAGTCACATCTGACCTTGTTATTTATTCGCTTATCAATCTTGACTGTTTTTATATGGGCGCGTAGATGTGTGTACATTTTTTATCTCATTACTCATCACATGTCTGTAACTTACTTTTGTGTAACTATAAATATTGATTAACGCTTGGTTAAAGGGGAGTTGGCTTACCCGCCATCTCCACTGCGCGTCGTTTTGCTTTGTTCTATCCCATTCGCTTCATATACAAAATATATATATTCAAAAGTCCATTCTCGTTATTTGACTTATCTAAATCCGTTATTGACTAACGCGATTAAAGTCGATGATTATACACGAGGATAGGCGATAAAAAACATTTATACGATCTAATTGGAGTCAGATCCACGGCCCACTAAAGTGGAGAGCCCTGTCGACAACATCGTTCGATCTAAAACGACTACAAAATAACGGGCCCCACAGTTGTACTAGATGTTTGTTAAAATGTGATATTTATAATTATAATTTGGAAAACATTTCTATGTGTCTGACAAATGGTAAGAGAATCATCACAGTTGTAGTAGTAGATTAAGAACGTTTATGTTTTACCATTATTCGTATCACGTTATATATAGTATTCAATCACTGATGAATACAGGTTTTACGATAGCCTCTATAACGGTTAAAATGTTCATACTATTGACTGAAGAAACGTTCACTGATTCATTATTAAATAAGAGCATTACTTTTAGATCAAGCTCATCTAAAAACTTATATTCAAAGATTTCATTGAATATATATTCATTTTCTATGGGTAATACACTTTATTTTGAATTTATCTGAGATTGTGATTTTGTTACCAATCTTAACAGCTATTTTTATTGTTTATTCATAGATATTCATTTAGAAGAACTATAATTGAGTAATTTGAGCGTTTTTAATAGTGACAAAATGTTTATCACAGGAGAAATTTGTTAGCCGTATCTACTACTCTAACACTTTGAGCATTTTTTAAATTAATGGCATAATTTGCGATGTATTAACTTTCATGCATTGCTTTTTTTAAATAATGATTATGCAATACTTAAAAGTTTGCTTTCAGTTGTTCTTTTTATTGTACTTCTAAGTGATTTTTATTGTTAATTTCTCTATGAGATAAAGTAATGCGAATGTCATTATTTTCATATGAATGTGTAATCAGTATACGTTGTTATACAGGTGTGAATAGAAATATTCATAGAGATTATGAAGCAAAATTGTTTTTTGAATGCAAAAACAAGTTGTCAACTGTAAGGTTTATAATTTCAAACTTTCTATACTATGAATAGTTTATATTGTTACTAGAGGTTTACAGTTATATTTATTCTACATTTTTACTTGATAAGAACAGGGAGATGATATTGTAGTGTATGGCAGATGTAAATAGTATATAACATCAACCAGAAGTGGAATGTCTAGTAACAGAAGACTGAGAAGCTCAAATTGAAGAGAAAAGGAATGTAAAAAGAGAGTGATTGTAATAAAAACGGAACTGAAAAAAATCATGAAGCGTGTAAAGGACAACTGAAGAAACATGTACAAATAATGTATTTAATGTATATTTTCATATTTTATGAAGGTACTCTGCAATGATGCGTTAAATAATAATTTGGTTATCCTCACTAAGTCTTCGTTCACTACAATATGTTTACATTATTCCTTAGAAAAGATCTTTCGATTGTCACAGTTATTTTTTGTGCAAATCCAATAAAAGTACTAATGTAATGCCTCGTAGCCTAGCTATACACTGCTTAATGACTGAGCATAAAACTGTATACTTAGCATATAGTAATTTGACTAATTCCGAAATAATGGACTGTTCTTATGGGCTGCAAGTGCTGTTCCGAGAAGAGAGAAAAATTAGGACTACACAATTTTAACATTGTGATAAGATAAACAGATATGGTTTCGAACAACACATATAAGCGAACAATTGTTTTCAATTAGATCGTCATTAAAATGACGTCATACGAGAGCATAGAGATTTCAAGAACTCACTTATTTTCTTGTCATTTGACCTCATTCGGCAGTTCATGGTTGTTCTGTGAGTAGGCGTTAGCAATTTTTAAAGACCCCCATAGTTTTCTCCGAATTAAGATTGTATATAAAGTCGGGATGAAAGTACGCTCCGCTTGATAATTTCAATGATCCCCTATTGGATATGTCACCATTTTTTATTTGAATAACTTTTCAAACACTATAATTCAGTGTATTCTCGAGATGCATATAGACGGTTCGCATTCATATCAAACATTTACTTTACTGTACCGTTCAAGGTTTGTTCAATAACTCCCGGGTATTCTGATTGCTCTATTTACAGAAATACATTTGAGAATGCCTTCATTTTGTTTAATCGGTGAAATCACTATTTTTAGGAACATCGTAAGTAAACAAAATATATTCTATCATATATGAGCGATCAAGAAATTTTACTAGATTAAGTATCCTTACAAATTTAAATGTTCTTAAATCCAGTTAGCATAAACTAATTGAAGAGATGATGTTTTTTATTCCTTCAATTAAGCATGAACTAGATTGTAGAAATAAAGATAATCAAATTTAATTATCCTATTCGTGTTGAATTACTGATACTTCTATAATTATTCTTTAAAATTTTTAATTTTCGAAATCGTACTTGTAGTCATGATTGGCATCAAGTTATAGTTTCAAGGTTACATTGTATGTATATACTTATTAGAAGTTCCATAAGATTTAGGATGTATTTATGTTTGTATTATTCAAAAAACTTATTGTGCGATTATTCAGTCACTCAGAATTAAGGTAACAATTGTTTTTTACATGTCTTAGAATGATACATAGAGTTTAGTTGAAATCTAATTTAAAATACATTGTATTAAAAGTGCATACTTAAAGAAACATACATTATAGAAGTGGAGCCGGATACAAGTGTTTTCACTTATTGTTTGGTATACAATCTCACTGACAAAAGTATTTGCTCTTTGTTACGGTTGAGAGTACAGTAGAGGGCACCATTCCAATGTAAAATATTTATTGAATGAATCTCTATACAGTCTTCTGATTGAGAGACAATGTCACCTGTCACTTTAATGGTCTTAGTTTCTTCAACTATTTCATGTTCCATGATTATCCTTGTAATCATTATTAAAATACGGTCATGGTTGTAACAAATAAATTTGAATAACACGATAAGTTATTAAAAAGTGTGTTTAATTGTATCATTAAACGCTACAGATCTGCAGTCCCATTTGTGCAGCTTTTTGAATGAAAAAAGTATTTGAGGATTCTCATAAAACCTGCTGAAGTATTTTTTCAGCACACGATCATATTGGTCTGTTTTATGTAATTTGAAATAATTCTACTGAAACTCAGTACATTATTCTTTTGTCAATAAGTTACAGACAAAAATATATTATTTCATACATATAGTTCCCTTTATCATTTTGAAAAGAGCAAGAACAAAGATTCTAGCAGAATAACATGAATTCATTTTATTTCGTAGGTTCTCGTCAGCTGCTTACAACCTATAGTATTTAAAAAGATAATAATTACATAATGGGTTTAAATTGCTTACATGAGAGGGTTTATATTGAAGAAATATTCGTAAAGTATGACATGGGTATAAATGAAATTAATAGGCTGAATATTGTAAATATATACCTAATGTGACAGAATATTCTAGAGCAGAGCCCCAGAATTAAAAAAAACTACTACTAATGTGCACAACAGACGTCCAATTCCAGTTTAATAACACCATATATCGTCAAATCGACGGCGTAGCAATGGGAAGCCCACTAGGTCCAATTCTGGCAGATATTTTTATGAGGTGTCTTGAAAACATGGTGCTTAATCAGGCGATTAGCGAAACGACGGAATATTCCAGATATGTTGATGACACGTTCATTGTCTGCAACAATAAACAGCATGCAATCCGCCTTCTAGAACTCTCCAATAATGCACATCCTAACATTCAATTTACTATGGAACACGAACAGAATGACATGTTCCACTTTCTTGATGTTGCTATAAACCGTAGGAGAGACGGGACAGTCCAACGTTCAGTTTATCGAAAAAGTACTTGGAATGGCCTTCACCTGAATTTCAATAGTTTTTGTCCACTCAGCTACAAGAAGGCACTAGTTAAAACACTATTTTATAGGGCAGAAAAGATTTGTACCACTGATAAGCTGGAAGAAGAATTGATGAACGTACAAAAATGCCTACGAGACAACTATTACCCACAAAAGTTTATTGACAAATATAAAAAGCGTAAAGAAAATAATACTGAAGTAATTACTGTCAATAAAAAACCAATAACTATAAGTCTTAACTTCAAAGGTGATGATGTTGCTAACACAATCAACAGGAGACTCAATACTGCGCTAGCCAGAACCTATCCGGCTGCCAAACTTCAAATTCTGTATAAAACAACATGTTCAATAACTCAATCAAAGGTTGATAAGCGTCCTTTTCATGTTACCGCCAATTGTATTTATAAATTTACATGTACCTGCCAAAGCAGCTACATTGGCCGAACAGAAAGGAGGGCATATCTCAGATTTTTTGGACATGTTCCAAAAAACCTCAGAACAAGAGAAAGAAAGACTCTAAGTAGTGCAATCACTAAACATCTCCTTGACACAGGCCATCAGGTTGACACCCTACAATCATTCAAGGTGATTAGTAAGCAGCCAAACTCCAGTCTTCTGAAGTTTGCTGAAGCAGTTGCTATCAGGCGCCAAAAACCTGATTTATGTGTTCAAAAGGAGATGATTGTTAATCTTTCCCTGCCTTGGTGACAAATATTCTTCCGCTGCAGCTTAAATTTTTTTAATTTTTATCTTTTATATTTATTACGTCATTGATTTTATTTTTCAACTATCTTTAAAAAAATTAATAATCTTTCGACTGAACTCTACTCACTATATTCCTATCAATGTTTATTCATTATGTAATCAATTGTTTCTAACCCACTTTTGAACTGTTGTCACAATTAATGCTCTAGAATATTCTTTCACATTAGGTATATATTTACAATATTCAGCCTATTAATTTCATTTATACCCATGTCATACTTTACGAATATTTCTTCAATATAAACCCTCTCATGTAAGCAATTTAAACCCATTATGTAATTATTATCTTTTTAAATACTATAGGTTGTAAGCAGCTGACGAGAACCTACGAAATAAAATGAATTCATGTTATTCTGCTAGAATCTTTGTTCTTGCTCTTTTCAAAAATGTATTAGATCTAACCTCAAATATAAAAATCTCTAGTCCACTATGTCTTACCACTCAAAGATTATTGTGTACTCCCATGTTATCTAGTTTACAATGAAGAGAGTAAATTCGTTCTAAGTCGATACATAATAAGATCCAATTCTTTAATCTGTCAAATACTTCAAATAGTTAATGCCTAATTTAAACTCGCTTATCTTAGTTTGTTTTAAGAGTAAAAGACGGAAACGGAGGGTTTGAATGGATTCATTTGAGCAGTTTCAAGTTGGAACAAAACAACACTTCAAAGATCCTTGATTTCCATAAGTTCACAGGGTGATAATAGTTGGTGAGAATCTAATTTATGGACGAACCTTGAACGAATCTTAAATGACCTTGACAATTATTAGCCAATCAGAAGACAGTTAGTATAAAGTAAAAATATATTATAAGAAACTAATGAATTACAGTGGATATTCTTCTTTTACATGATTTAAAAACTTGTTAAGGTTTGATAAAGGTTCAGATGTTCTGAAATCATAATGCATGCGATATAGGAACTCGTCCATGTGGCTCCATAATAGTCGTCCTCTAGAGCCGTGGTACGGTCTTAAAAATTCCTTCAATCTCGACCACATGGCTTCAACGTTGTTAGTATGAGCGCCAGTAGTAGGGTAGACAAAATGACGTTTATGCACTACGACATGATGGACATAGACAAGTCTATGAAGGCATCGATGAGCTCTCTAATCATCCATATATACCGTAGTGCCCGGCTGTACGTATTCCTGTATAATTGGTATTATTGTGCTTGCTTGCCGGTTTCTGACCCTCTGAAAATGCCCCTTTTGCGTCGATCGATCATTAATTCCAAGTACCTCTCATGTATATTTACGGAAGTGCTACTTACCCAATCTTCCTTGATACTACGCCCCCTGTTGTATTTTCGCTTTCTCACTACTGTTTTATCTATCTCCACAATACTTCCTACTCCTCCGAATGATTGGTGTAGACGTGTCATTTTAAGTGCACATATGTCACGACAATACTCATACCAATGAACTGCTGAAATTTCAGTAACATCTGCAAACACCGCAGCCAGTGTTACTGGTGTCTTTATTATCCAATTTGAAACTATTATCATGACTTGCCTCAGTTTCAGTCGCAATCGAACGAAGAAAGTCCCCGTTCGAGCACACTTTTTCCACCAACATAACGAACAACGAAACATAATCTCATTACGATAGTCCACACTTTACTGCAGTCATTTGATAACCGCAGTCACAGTTACAGGAACTTCTTAGTAGTCTCATCTATTGTAGCCGCTCAATAATCACCTCTTCTCTAAAATCCGCTGTAAACCGATCGTATGTGAGCATCAGGTGTTGAACTTGTCTCCGTGACCTTGAAATTGCTCAAACGCTTCTGATTGGCTCGTCCATAAATTAGAGACTATAATTTATGAATGAACCAATCATGTATAAGATAACAGGTCTTGGATTCAACCATTTGGCTAAATAGATTTATAGCATTATAGCTGATGTCAGTTCGTGATGAAAACCCTAAATCTAATTCATAACCTCAACCATCATGTGAAAATCATTATTAGAAATCCTCATACTAATTTATAACCCTTATTTGGTCCTAGTTATCAGGTAGACACTCTCAAGGTCAGTCTAGCGTTGCTCAAACGTCGTCCATAAATTATAGTCTCTTCGAAAATATCTTAAGCTTCATCTCCAAACTAATGTATAAACTGAATTGTAAAGAAAGCTTAATTCAAGTTCTTAAAGTGTCTTATTTCTAGTAATTTTATTCATTCATTCCTAATCTCTTAGGCTATTCATTATTTATTATTTCTGTTTATATATTATTACTCTTGAGTTCTTACTGATATCGAAAAGTTAACATAGAAAAGGGAATATAACTGCGAAATAAACACATTGAAACGATTGATTATTATTATTTTCTTGTCTTTTAGCTTCTGTAATATTTATAATAATCATCTGTAGGATCGATCACTGTACTTTGAAATCTCATATTTAACTAGGTGGTCCATTTTCTGGTTTCATTTTCTATTTTAAAATTACTGTATCCAAAAAGAAAGCTTAATCATTATATATTTTTTGTTTTAATTTGATAGTGTGATTTCTTAATATGTATGTGATATGTTAACAAATTTCAACCATAATTTATTATTATTTCGCTGTTTGTGTATTGGAAGACATAAATATTGATCCTTTCCATTTGATTCTATATAACTAAATTTGTATAAAATATTTGACAAAGGACTTATCAAACTTTATGATTTGTTTCATTCATTAGATGAAGTACAGTTCCGTTTATTTGCTTAATAGTCTAAGATTAACTTTTGTTATTAGTAATATTGTAATTTTCAATTTTTTAGGCAGAGAAATGGTTAGTATGTTTCGAGGCTGAACACTGATGATTAGTGATTGTGAGTCATAAACCTGTACTATTATTATAGTGACAAAAATCCATTCATGTGTGTGCAGTCAAATATCCTTAGACACAGTAAAGCAGGCATACAGAATCGGAATACACTTTGATAAGAAAACATTAGATCAGTGCTAATATATTATGTTTAGTTTTAACATTCACGGGACAACCACCTTGTAAGACATGTAACAGTATCAGCTCTCTGGATTTTTGTAGATTCAAAACATTTTTACTGATGTAGTTGATATATTTATCATGGATACTAGATTTCAAGGATCACGTCATTGAATTATATAACATCTTCGATTTCAGCATTTTTAAGTAAAACACTACTGCTAGACATTCGAGAAAAAGAAATTTCTTCGTTACTCACACCTAAACTGTTTCCATCAGAATTGAAGGACTGGTTACTATCTTATACTGACTAAATATCATTTCGCTATAAATACAAGCGTTCAACAACATTTTCATAGTGATTTATCCTTTAAAAATGCATCTAACGAACTCTTCACTTGTTAATCCACACTACATCGTTTCTACAATAACACCAAAACAAAGAACGCATTATTATAAGACTTCATACGTTACATGAAGAAAAACAAGTATTGAAGTTTGATATCAATTTGTATTGTTTCAAATTAACCCTTGTCGTTCAATTTCTTAATCGCTATAAAACTTATATATATAACAATCTGGTTCATAGCGAAAACAAAAGGTTGATTTAGGTTTTGTTGAAGTACTTATACGGCCAACTTTAATTGGATTAGTAACTCGTTCAAATTTCCATCCTCTACCATAATCTCTTTCTAATTCATTCAAAAATGGTGACATACTAACAAATGGATCGTCTCGATCCCATCTTCTTACAATATACAATATACATTTCCTTTCTAGATCACATTCCATATCAGAAAAATATATTGTAATGCATGGATATTCTGGTGGAAGTTGTCTTTCGAATTGTTTTATGCAATCAATTTCTTTTTGTACCCTACAAAATAAGACAATAAGCATAATAAAAATAACATGTAGCTATAAAAAATATAAAGGATAATGTCGAAGGATAAAAGGATGTATTATATGTAAACTGTCAATATGTAGTTTGAATACAAGTAATTTTACAGATTTAATGAGATATCAAAAAACTGATATCAGATATGATGTACGCTAAATGATCACTACGTAAAAATAATAGAAAACATTAATAGTTTCGGAAAAACAATGTGGTGATCCTTTTTCTTCTTTCTAATATCAAGTCAATTGGTTAAGTCATAAATAAATTCGTTCACAATGTAATCTATAATAAATATGACATAATACTTATTAGTATACTTGTCATATGTGAAAACCAATAAGCCTATCCTCGACTAGATATAGTTTTTGAAATATATTTTCAATGTATTACTTCATAAGAAGATATACGCCTATTTGCGATGTTTGAAATTAACGTCTGATGTGAACAGGGAAACAAGAAGCCCGGACAAACTACGGAAACTATTTTTCGGGACGTTATTCTATTTTATTTAAGGCTTGTAAAACGCTAACATTTTTTCCCTAATCTGTTCTACAGAACATAAGCTTTCGTTCGATGTATGATTCATTCCGATACTCTTTTCTGTTACGAAGCTATTGTAATTTAAACATAATACTTTGCACCCTATTTTCTACTCTAAGTCCCAGCTTTGGACATAATTGTATTTTTCCTAATTATCGTACGTTTTGGTCGGGTTATCCACTTATTTATTCATGTACCTTTTTACACTAATCCGAACTGAAATCAGGATGTCGGGGATAGATCGAGTGGTGTTCCGGTTGTCTTGTCTTCTCTCATTTGCGTGCTTGTCAGCCAATCAGGTGATAGAATAGTTTCCTCTCTACCCCACTTTGAACTCACGCGTACTAGCCTCAAGGTTAGGTCGGTCAGCCTATTGCGCCGAGGTCCTAATCTGTATTAGATAAGTATCCTCAGCACCAAAAGTGGGTAGACAGACCAAAAGGACATAACAACATCCTTTTTGAAAAATCTCTCAGCTTTATTGTAAATCCATTGAAATCTGTTACTATCAGATAGATTGATTAGTTTTGTTAAGTTACAAATTATCATACGTAAATATTATTCTTCTATAAAAAAATTAAAATAATGTTTGTATAAGGTTATCTTTGATAAAATGATTTTAATTATCCTAAATTATCAAGTTGAAAGGTAGTACAAAAATTACTGAAGACCACTGTTCCATTCATGTAAATATGATGTTCAGAATATATATATTTAAAAAAAAGATAATTATATCTTTATATCGTATACTTTGCCATTTAATTTCTGATGTAAAATTGTTTGTTTTTTCATTGTATAATGAACAACTGAAATGACAATAGTGTTGTGGTGTATGCTACTTATATTGACATAAGTAGTATATGATATTAGTCGTAAAAAGAAGGTCTAGCAGCAGAGAGACAAGAGGAGCGAACACTAAAAAATGGAAACAGGATGTAATTTGTTTAAAAATGCAAGAACAATGAAGTCTGAGTCATTATGAGACAATCGATGGACATTTTGCAAATTAAGCATTTACTTTATGATTGTTAGATTTTACTAACAAATCATGTAATTTAATGTTAAGTACATTCGATTGTCCCCACCCGTGTTCTGTTCACTACAGTGTAATCGAAAAAAACTTATTGGAATAAGCTCTTATCTCATATAGTAAAAGTGTTAAAATCTATAAGTCATTGTCATTATTATAAAGTAATAATAAACGTTTTTTGTGTATTACTATATATTTCTATATTAGGTAAAAGGACCATTGTACATTTACTGAATCTTTGAGTCTTATAGGAATTTCAATGGCTAAGATCATGAGTAAGTTGAAGCTAGACCACAATGGAAAATCTGGAAGCAGTGGACGGCCGTTTCGCCCTATTGTGGGACTCATCAGCAGTGCGCATCAACGACCTCGCCTCCTGCGAGATTCGAACCCAGGACCTACTGGTTTCGCGAGCGAGCACTTAACCACTAGACCACTGGGCCGGCATCCAACGGTTTTAATGTCTAACTTCAACTAATCCACGAAATTGAGCGACACATCCACCATTGTCTTCAATGAGTTACTATCTCACAACAGAGTCGGTTGAGCTTCACTGATCACTGCTTCTCACAAGAACTTCAGAAAATATCACTTGAAGCCAATCAGGAATGACAACTATAAAAATTAATGATATAAGTATAAATTCAATTAAATTTATGAAAATCACGGTTCGTTATAAATATTCATAAGTGAATTTTTTTAGAAAAATATAACAATGTAATACTCAGATACTAATAAATGATATCAAATGATTAAGTATACAAATAATTTATCTAACATAATGTAAAGATAAATAATGAAACAACTTACATTGTCTGACTATTCAAATTTATTGATGGTTTGTCATTCATTCTTGTAGCATATCCATTTGGCATATTTAAGTTTGGATTTAATAAATGCATAGATTTCTAAAACATAAAATTATCTAGATGCATCCTTACTTAATTAAACATAATTTTCACATGATTTTAGACTTACAAATTATACGTTTTGTATAGCATGAAATATGAATAACAATTTATAATAACAATGGGAATAATATGAAGTTTTACATATCAAACCTATTTATCATTGTTAGGATGTAAGTTGAGGCGGACAATACTAAATATACTGGATACAGGTAAAAAGATATATATATATATATATATATATATATATATAAAGTGGATAGGGCACACATTGCATGAATCATTAAACTGAATCACTAGAGAAGCCCTATCTTGAAATTCCGAAGGAAATGGTAAAATAGTCAGACTAAAGAACATCTTGAGTCAGGAACGCGAGGCAGACATTAAGGGAATGTAAAGCACTTGCGAACAACTAGAAAGGAGAGTGCATAGTTAGAGTTGGTTGAAGAGACCTGGTCGAGTCCTATGTTCCACGAGGGGAAACAGGTATAAGTAAGTGAGTAATAAAACACCAGTTTCTTAAAATTTTATGACGGTATTTATTCACGAATCTGAAGAGTTTTATTATTTTTTGATGTGTACAACTTTAAAAATATCATTACTATAGTTTTCACTGGTGTTCATGAATATATGTTTACACGTTATTCAGTATATCCGCAGAAAAATAAAATATAAAAGGATTTACCTTTAAATGACCTGTCATAAAACTCGTCATTTCATCAGTAATTCGACCAAAACATGAGCTAATTACCCAGACGATAATATATAATACTGGAGTTGTGTGGTTAAAATCTACATTTCATAAACGTTGGCCGTCATCGGTAGAAAATATATAAAATACTGTGATGATTAACGTTGCCCTAACTGTTTCAACCTTCATCGTTCAAAGTTACAATTGCAGACATTACAAGCATGTTATTCAGTTTGTAATCTCTGTAGAACAATAATGTCAACATCAGCTGCTCACTTAGTGTTAACGGACATAGTGTTATTTGATTTTAAATATTGATATAATGCAATGAGATAAGTTACAAATTTTTACCAATCCTCGACTGAATATGGCAGTAGAATTTGTTTCCGTAATTATCAATAATTTACTCGGAGCTTTAGACCAACCTGATAGATAAGCATTTACTATTAACAATTTCTATAATTCAGTAATCAATCACTTTATCTTTGTTTGGATCAACGCATTATGGATAAATTTGGCTATAAACATTTGGAAAACTGAATTAACAATAATAATTGGAGACTAAAGTTTGCTGTTGTAAATCTCACTCCTAGTTATTTATACAAACGTTATTATTAAACTTTCATTATAATTATCAATCAACTCAAATAATCCTGTGCCTTAATTAAAGTGTTCGACGTCTAACACAATAGATATGAAATAAACTGAATGCTTATAATTATCAAAAAAAGTGGCATGCAGAGGCTCTAGACATTATTTGTCAATAGACCCAAAGCGATTCATCAGCCAGTCATAAACAACGCAGAATTTGACAGTTATTTATATCTATTTGATTTGTCACACCGCATGTACACAACAATATGAAATTAATAAGATAAATTCTAAAGGAGTAGGATTATTACCGGTGTTAATGGTAGCTGAGAAGAGCAGATATTGACAGTTTGATTCAGAAAACAAGAGGGAACTCAAGAAATTCTTAAGTATAAAATATCTTCGGAACTGAACTTCTATGCAAAAAACATTAGAAACGGATTTACCGCACTATGAAAGACCTCAGTTTACATCAGCGATTGTATCCAATCATTAGTTACGATAATCATGCAGACCTCAACCACATAGTCTATGCTAACCAACACGGTTCAAGCCAATAATTAGTGGCTTCACGGAACAACAAGCATCTTTGCAAAAATGTGTGACGATAGTTTCTGCATTTCGAAATTCAAGTGAATTTCGTCTAAATAATGGAAGATCGACTAACCTATTTACAAATGATAATAAAAAGTAGATTTTCAATGAGAATAGTTTTATCCACCTCTGCTTGTACTTTTTCTTTGTTAATATTAAGAGTCGTATTTTTATATTAACTTTCAGCAAATATGAACTCCATAGGCTGATACCTCGATATTTGAAGGAGCTGCAAATCGACAGTTTTTTAGATCTGATTGAAATCTGAATTCATCACACAAAAGTTAATCATTGGTTAGCTGATGGCATTATCAACTCACTCATCCAAGGAGTTTATGTGCCAACGAAGAATTAATTATTATTGCAGTTCACAATGAACAAATAAATCACTAAACTTTCAACTGTTTATACTAATAATTAGATGAACAGATGTAAAAATGGACATTACAATAAACTTCCAATTGTGTAAGGTGAACTTACTTCCAGAAACGTGTTAACCAACACTTGCCTATGATGGCATTTTTCAAAATCCTCAACTTCCGGGGGTCTTTTAATCGCTCTTGGCATAGTAGGTTGACTTGTCTATTTGAATTGATTTATTTTTTTAAAAATGAAGAGAATTTGTCGATATTTATTGCCAAGAATCTTTAATTGTTTACGTAAAGAATTTTTAAAGACTTTCTAGTATACAAAAACAAAATTGATTAATCCTATATATATACTCTCAACATATTGTATGTGAAGGTGTTTCTGCTTTCACTAACACATGCACAAATGCTATAAAAGTAGAATCCGAAGCACAAATGCACACATGACCATATTTATGTTAGCTTATTATTGTATAATCTAGTTACAGAGTGTAATTGATGAGTGTGTTTGTTTTTTTAATATAATTATGGTTTTCGATACCAATTATAAGCATAATAAATCTACGTCTTCTAGGCAAATAAGTTAAACGACATGACAGGCATGGTATTATGATCAATTATTTCAATTATTTACCAAGATTCATATCGACCAACACATGTATAATTGTTTTTATTGAAATAAAAATTCAACAACTATCGCCGTTGATACATCGTCGAGAACAGAATGTTTTAGTATATATTTAAGTAGTATGACCGTAAATTATAATCAAATCATTCATAACATATCTATCAATAGAGAGAATATGTAGACCTATATATATGCATATAAAATAATAGACATTTATGATTGTACTCATGAAACTATGTGATGATAAAAACACAAAGTGGATGATAATCGAGTTCTTTGTAAGGAACAATTATTTGGTTTGCTGGTCTGTGTGACTTTAATACTTTAATACATATGAAAAAAAATACATTAGATTTCTTATTCCTTTGTTTCTGTATTATTTAAGAAACTGTAGGAAACGATTCAGAAGTATTCCTTTTCAGGATTACTTACAGACTAAAACAAGGCTATTTCGGTAACTGCTTTGATCAGAAACACTAATCATTTGACTATAATTGTTACAACTATTTCACACAGCTGTTATTGTTATAATGCATATCAAATTAGAAAAGAAACATTACACCTTCAGCAAATAAGTTATTAGGTAATAAATAAGAACTTTCGTCTAAATTCGAAAGAATAGTTTCACAGTATTTGGGCACCGAGTTAATATGAGACATTAAAGAGGAAGAATGTATTTGTAAAATCTCAGCGAAAGAATTTGAAGTAAATCCAACGTTGAATGTAATCTTAGTTGAATGAAATTCCTTCTCACATACAATCTGTTATCTTAACACTTTTCGTCTCACATCACATATCTCTTACACACTAACGTAAATACATACTTTAAACATTGTTAACCTTGATTGGATACAGAAAACCAGAAAACCATGTACCTATTTATATTCGACAATTTTGTTGTTTGATTATATTTTCCTTGAAATAGCTTGGACCAGATTGCCAGGCGAAACGTTGGATTTACTTCAAATTCTTTCGCTGAGATTTTACAAATACATCTTCCTCTTTAATGTCTTATTGGGTAATAAATTTGTAAATTGTAACCTTAGAAACTGTTGTTCTAAACTGAATAAACTTTTGTAAGTTGTTTTATGAAATGATTCATCCTATACTATAATGTAGTTATATATCTATTAAAATACCATTATATGACACAAAAACTATTGAAGATTACGGGAATTTATAATTATCGTCACCGCTTGTTAGACGGATATCACTTTCATAGAAGGAAAGTGAAAATGTCGTGTAAATACATGCATACATAGGTCAGAAACCAATAGATATATCATATTATTGTATATCATTTAAGAAAACAGTAAAATCTACATGCATAAAAGCATTAGTGTTTTCCAATTCATTTAAAATTCTATAATATTAATAACAGCTTAGTTTTTTTCCCACATTAAACGATGAAATAGACTGTATTGAACCCTAGTAGAATAATAAATCAAAACATTTTTACACAGGTTTGATAAAAATGTAACAAGTTTATTCTTTATCATTAGTATTGAATGACACTATCTATTGAGAAATACTTTAATTTCCATAGTGTAATAAAAAGACCAAGATTATTATTCTTATAACACTAACGAGATGTATCAAAGAGACCAATTCATTTAGATACTTTAATATCAGATCAGTTTATCGGTCATATTTCAGTAATGAAACCTACGTTTTTACAAGAAATTTAAACAAAATTGTAAAACACAGATTTATTATCAAAGCTAAAAATTAATGACTTTGTTCGCTTAGCAAATGAGATTTATTTTGAAAAAAGAGAAAAATAAAACTAGTATGTTTAGTTAGGTGAGTAAAATTAAAAGTGTACACATGTGTAACTCTGAGAAACTACTGGACTGTCTACTAGTCTATAATTGTGAAGGCTAAAAATAAAAACATTTCAATTATTCAAGTCAATTCAAATGTGAAATAATCTCAATCTTTAGATAAAGAAAAGAGAAAAGTGTTAATGATTAATTACCAGCTCGATCTGTTAGCATTTATACTCACTTCTGCGAAAGTTCATAAATTTAACATGGGATGAATACATCTCATGAAAATTGAGTTTTGTATTTTGGCATATTAATCAAATTATCGTAGTCTACTACTTACTTATTTACTCCTGTTACATCTCGTGGAGGAGCATAGACCACTCATCAGCATACCCATCGATTTCCGTAGTGCACAGTCTTTCCCAGTTGTTTCCAGTTGCTATTCATGACTGCTTCCAATCCCTGACTCAACATGTTTTTTAGTCTTCTTATTCTTTCCCTTCAGGACTCCAAGTTAACGATTGCCTCGTAATGCAATTTCATGATTTTCACAATTTATGTTTTATCTGTCTTCGCAATCTTTCCCTAATTTCCTATTCTATTGGAGGTTGGTTTGTTCTCTCTAACAGTAGACTGTTACTGACTGCGTTTGACCAACGGATCTGGAATATCTTGCATAAACAACTGTGTATAAATACTCGTACTTTTTGATTATGGTTGTTGTAGTCCTCAACGCTTCAGCTCCGTACAGTAGAACTGTCATCACGTTCGTACTGAAGATTGTGACTTTGATATTGCCTAGCAGTTGTTTTGAGTTCCATATGTTCAACAACTGTATAAATGCTGTCTTTTCTATGCCAATCCTTGCCTTTCCGTTAGCATAGGATCCTTCCTGTTCGTCGATGATGCTGTCCAGGTACGTGAAATTTTACACTTCCTTCAGAGTCCTCCATCAAGTGTGATTGTGTTGGTGGTCACCGTGTTGTAATTTCTGTCTTGTATGTGTTGAGGCCTGTTGATGCACAGGCTGCTGCTTCACTAGTTGTCTTCATCTGCATTTGTTAGTGTGTATGGGATACAAGAGCTATCTCATCTGCAAAGTCCAAATCATCTAGTTGCATCCTTGCTGTCCGTTGTATTTAGTACTTCCAATGAAATGTGGGGTCTTTATAAACCTCTCAGCAACCAGAACAAAAAGAGAAAGGGAGAGTGAGCAGCTTTGTTTGACGACGGTCCTCACTTGGAATGAGTCTGTCAGCTGTCCACCATGCATGACTTTGCAGTGTAGTCCATCGTATGAATTCCGATTGATGTTGAAGATCTTCTCAGTACAACATAGTGTTGAAGAGATTTTCATTACGTTCTCCTATCCACTCTGTCAAACACTTTCTCATAGTCAATGAAGTTGATGTATAGTGACGAATTCTATTTAGTTGATTGTTCAACGATGATCCGTAGTGTCGTGATTTGGTCTGTGCACGACCAATCCTTACAGAATCCTGTCTGTTGACCTTGAAGATGGACATCTACTAAATCCTCCATCCGGTTCAGCAATCCTCTGTTGTAATCATTTCCTAGTACCAATAGTAGTGTGATGCATCTGTAGTTCTCACATTTGCTCAGATCTCCTTCATTTGGTATCTTGATATCTATGGTATTCATCTTCTCAGTCTGTTATCACTTGCATTTCTCTCCACCAAATCTTCCTGAATAGAATATGGAGCATATATGCAGGTACTACCATGTCTGACTTCAGTGGTTTAGCTGGTATGTTGTCAGGTCGTGCTACATATTTACATTCTTCACTTGTCTTATGGCCATCCTAACTTAATGGATCATTGATGGAGTACGGTGTATAAGGATGCCTGTAGGTGCTGAATGGATTTCTATTGTATTGAATGGAGCTGGTTTATTCAACAGTTGGTCAAATTGTTCTATCCAACTGTTCCTATCTTCTTGAATCTCAGTCATTGCCTTGCCTTATTTGTACTTGAACGGTCTCTCTGGTTTACTATATTTCATTACCAATTTCTTCGTTGTGTCATATAGTTGTTTCATATTTCCTTCTCTAACAGAATTTTCCGTTGTTGTTGCTATGTCCACCACGCATTTCCACTTGTTGACTCCAATGTCCCTCTTCACTCGCTTGATTGCTTCAATGTAATCAGATTGTGCCTTGACTGTCTCTGCTCTCGTTCCACTGTTGTTCATTACCGTCTTCTTGTTCTTCCTTTATCAAATCTCGCAAATGGTTTTGACAGAGATGACTTCCTATGATTATGCTTGTTGCGACCAAGAATCTCCTGACACGCTGACACTAGTGTTCCTTCAATCCATTTCCTCTTCTTCCAAATGATCTTGTAAGGCTTGGAATCTGTTGTTGAGAGTTATCTTGGATTGGTTCAGTTTGTCAGTATGTCGAATGAAGGCTGTGTTGAATATTTGTGATGCTGTTTCTCCAGTTGTCCAGTGGTTCTCCAGTTTCACGTTCATCTTGTCAACCATCTGGTAGATGGTGATCTGAAGCTACATCAACTCCTCTCGTCATTCTCACGTCTCTCACTGAACTTCTGACATTTTACTGATGCAAATATGATCGATCCCATTTTGTGTAGTGTGGTCCAGTGAAACCCACGTAGCTTAATTCATGCATTTGTGGCGAAATATTGTGCCAATTATTAACATTTTGTTGAGTGCACATCGATTTGCGAATCTCTCGTTATTCTCGTTCGTTTCTCCTAGTCAGTTCATGTCGTCCCATTCTATATTCATACCGATTGTTGTCCATTCAAACTTTGACGA